ATACAAATAAAACTATAAAATATACCTTCTTATATGCAGATATATTCACACCACTGAAAACCAGAGGCAAAAAGGCCGGCACCACGGCTCAATAGGCTAATCCTCCGCCTTGTGGTGCCAGCACACCGGGTTCTAGTCCCGGTCGGGGCGCCGGATTCTGTCCCGGTTGCCCCTCTTCCAGGCCAGCTCTCTGCTGTGGCCTGGGAAGACAGCGGAGGATGGCCCAAGTGCTTGGGCCCTGCACCCGCATGGGAGACCAAGAGGAAGCACCTGGCTCCTGGCTTCGGATCAACGCAGTGCACTAGCTGCAGCAGCCATTGGGGGATGAACCAATGGAAAAAGGAAGACCTTTGTCTCTGTCTCTCTCTCTCACTGTCTACTCTGCCTGTCCAAAAAAAAAAAAAAAAAACCACACACACAGACACACACACCAAAGGCAAAGAGAAAATCTCTAAAATAGATTCAGAAAAAAACAAAGATTACTAGATTACTTTCAAAGGACTGAAAGACTGATAGTTGACTTGTTAACAGAAAAAAGTGGAATTGGGAAATAATACAATGAAGTTATATTCCCAAAATGCTAGGGGGAAAAAAACCCTACAAACTTAGAATTTTATACCTAGTTATAATATCCTTCAGGAATGAAGGTGAAAAGATGCTTTTGCATAGACAAAAAAAAAAAAAAATGGAGAGAAGTGAATGCTAAGGGAAATGCTAGAGGAAGAATTATCCCACGTGGAAGCTTGGTGATTCAGGAAGTTACAATGAACTGAGAAACTAAACAGGTTAATATAAAGTTAACTATAAACGACCACTGCTGTGTCCAACAGTCATAATATCTTTTGAGGTTTAAAAATAAAGAGAAATTAGTACCTGGCAAGAATGGCATATCAGTCTAGAGGAGAGGAGAGGGAGTTAAATAGGCCTGAGTTCCTTATGTTATATGGAAAGTGATAAAGTGCTAATTTATATTAGGCTTTGATAAACATAGAGTGGTTTAATTTCTAGGGTAATCATTTTAAAAAACCTTAAAACTATATAACTTTTAGACTAGTAGTGGAAAGTACATATACACACATGTATACATAGTGTTTGTGTATGTATATAGCAAATGAAAATAAAACAGAAAAGGAAGGGTTATAGAACACATGAGGGATAAATATCTTTAGTTTATATTTAAGCCCAAATATATTAATAAATATACTAAATGTATATAAAACATATGTCCCAACTACAACATAGTTGTTACAAGATTGCATTTTAAATCAATGTATATGTTGATTGCATGAGACATTTTTAGTATAAAAGAACATAAAGGTTGAAAGTACTTGTAAAATGATGGATAAAAATATGCCATGTGAGCACTAAAAGAAAGTTATACAGGACATTAATGTCAGGTAAAGTAGACTTAAAGAGATAAAAAGCACCATTTTGTAAAGATAAATGTTTTAACTCATCAGAAAGAAATGGCAATTATAAATATGTATGTGCCTCAATCTATAAAGCAAAAATTGACAAAACTACAAGTAAAAATACAATTGTATAAATCCTCATTCACACTGGAAGATTTTAAGGTATCTTCTGTTAGTACCTAATAGAACAATCAGACTGAAAAATCAACAAGGATATAGCAGTAAGACTGACACGTTTGACCTAATTGGCTTATGTAAAACCCTACACCCAACAGCTCCAACTTGAACATTCTTTTCCAGCTCACTTAGAATGTTTCAAAAATATATGTTTAAAATATCTGACTTTATACAGAGTTTAGTCTCTACTTGAAGTGCAATTACACTAGAATCCACTTTTTAAAGGGTAACTATTTGTCTCCTGTGTGTTTTAAGTTCTCCTTTTCTCCCTTTTATTTCTCTGTTAAGACTTTCCCCCTTAATATGTGGATTTAAAGCAAAAATTTCTCTCTCATCCTAGTTTTAGGTGTACTTCACTATGTTGATGTGTAGTATTTTCACTGATTAACCAAAATATTTCCTGATCTCTGCTGTAATTTCTTCTATGTTTCATGGGCTATTATTTTTCAAACATACAGAATTTTTATTTCTTATTATAGACTGATAGCTTAGTTATGTTATGATCAGAAAACATCCCTGATAATGTTGATGCATGTTGAATTTGCTTTAAATGTATTCTTTACTGGCTGAATGCAGCATTCTCTGTGGGGAGCAACTGGGAGCAACTCGGACTAGACTAAGTTACTGGAATTAAGACTTATTCTATGCATCTGCTCTCCCACAATATGGCGCTGGGAGAGGAGAAAACAGCTTCTACACAGCTGCCTCTCACCAACTTGATTGACTGAGCTGCAGGAGCTGATCTTGCTCCTGACTGGAGGAGAGCAGCGTACTCGGCATGTGGGTAGCAGAGTTGGGATTGGTGGAAGAGGACTATAAAGGAGGAGAGCGACAACATGCACAAGGAACATCCATCTGAAGGAACACCTGTGCAGCCCCCGAGAGAGCCGGCCGGCGGTGTGCCGCTCCCCCGCGGAAGTGGGGAATGTGGCCAGGGGGAACCGCCCTTCCACGGAGGTGGAAGGGACGGTAGCCAACCTGGGAAGAACCAGCAGCAAACCCGGGGAGGGCCGAGCAGACAAAAGAACAGCGCAGGGTCCTGTGTCGTTCCTCCACGAAGACGGGGAGCGACAATTCTCTATGGTTTCACTAAGCCAAGTCTGTTACTGTGTTATTCAAATCTACACATTTACTGATATTTTGTCGGTCTATTCTACCTGACACTGACAAGTAGGTCAAAATCCACCATGATTTTCCATTTATCTACATTCCCACAGAGTTCCTTTAAATTTTGTTTTGTAGATTTTGCATGCATATTATTTATGTACATGTTGAACAGTTTGCTCTTCCCCATTAATTTGAATTGATCATCACCATGGTTTGTTTGTTTGTTTGTTTGTTTAATGTGTCTCTGGTAGTGCTTTTTGCCTTAGTGTTTCCTCTGTTGTTTTACTATTAAAAGAGCCACACCACTTTTTGGGGGCTTAGCGTTTGCAGCTATGGTTTTTTTTGGTCTTTTTCTTTTTTTTTTTAAGATTTATTTATTTATTTGAAAGTCAAAGTTACGGCCGGCGCCGCGGCTCACTAGGCTAATCCTCCGCCTTGCGGCGCCGGCACACCGGGTTCTAGTCCTAGTCGGGGCGCCGGATTCTGTCCCGGTTGCCCCTCTTCCAGGCCAGCTCTCTGCTGTGGCCAGGGAGTGCAATGGAGGATGGCCCAGGTGCTTGGGCCCTGCACCCCATGGGAGACCAGGAGAAGCACTTGGCTCCTGCCTTTGGAGCAGCGCCGTGCGCCAGCCACTGCGCACTGGCTGCGGCGGCCATTGGAGGGTGAACCAATGGCAAAAAGGAAGACCTTTCTCTCTGTCTCTCTCTCTCACTGTCCACTCTGCCTGTCAAATAAATAAATAAATAAAAGTCAAAGTCTCACAGAGAGAGGAGAGGTAGAGAGAAAGAGACAGAGATAAAGAGAGAGAGAGAGAGACAGGTCTTCCATCCATTGGTTCACCCCCTAATTGGCTGCAATGGCCAGAACTGCACCGATCTGAAGCCAGGAGCCAGGAGTTTCTTCCAGGTCTCCTACGTGGGTGCAGGGACCCAAGGACTTGGGCCATCTTCTACTGCTTTTCCAGAGAAGAGAGCTGGATCGGAAGTGGAGCAGCCAGGTCCTGAACCGGCACCCATATGGGATGCCGGCACTGCAGGCCAGGGCATGAATCGTGCACCAGTCTTTTTATTTTCAACTCTTCAGTATCATTATGTTTTAGATGTAACTCATAAATGATTTATAATGATTATTTTAAAAATTAAGTCTCTCTTTGTCTCTTAAGTAGAGCATTTAATCCATTGCTATTATTTGTTGTTGATATGTCAGGGTTTAAGTCTGTCATCCTCAAACTACTTGTCTCCTGTGTGTTTTAAGTTCTCCTTTCTCCCTTTTATTGCCTTCTGAGTTAATCAAGTATTTTCTATTATTCCATTTCCTCCTTAGTCTACTTTTTACCTACCATTTGGAAACATTTTTATTGCTTACCCTTTACTGTTTACAATATCTGTACTTGACATATCATTTTAATATTAATCAGTACCTTCACCTCTTCCCAGAAAAATGTAGATTTATTTATAGGCTGTTTGAACTCTTTACTCCCTGACTGACTCAAATACCATTGTTGCATACATAGTATTTTAATTCCACATATAATGTCACCCCTATAGCATATTATTATTGTGTTTATTATTATTACATGGGTATTCGTTTCAATTAACACACAGGCATATAGCTCTTTTCTCTGCATCTCTAAGCTTCCATCTGGCACCTTCTGTCTAAGAAACATTCTTTAATAATTTCTTTAATGCAACTTGGCTGGGATTAAATTTTTCCACTCTCTTTGTCCAAAAATGTTCTCCTTCATGTCTATTTTTGAAGGCTAAGTTTCTGGACCTAGACTTACGGCCTGGTAATTATTTTCTTTTAGCATTTTGTAGGTATTTCACCATATTTGGGCTTCACTCTTTCCTTTGGGAAGTAAGATACCAACTCCTTGCTTCTTTCAAAGCAGTCTGTCTTTTTTCTCTGTGTAGTTTAAATTTTTCTCTTTGCCTTTAGTGCAGTAGTTTATTGAGATGGATTTGTGCTTGTCCTCACTGGTGACCTTGGGACTTCATGGGTAGATGGACTGATGTTCTTCAACAATTCTGATAAATCCTCAGTCATTGTGATCATCATCCCTCTCTCTGTCTACTTCGGTTACTGGTGTCTTACACCTTGTTGTGTCCCCCATCCTGTGTTTAAATTTTCAAGCTTTTATCATTTCAGGCATAAATCTGAATGTTTCTTCTGCTTTATCTTCCACTTCAATAATTTCCTCTTCATCTGTGTATAGTTTGGTAAAAAAAAATCCATTTATTAATTTGTGTAATCATTTTGTTTTCAATTCTTGAATTTTTATTTGTGTGTTTGTTTACTTTCCAGGTCAATGCCAAAATTTTCAATTTTTTCTCGCACCTCCTCAAACACAGTAAGTATAATTATTTTAAAGTCTGTGTCTGACAGCATTAGTGTCTGAATCTCTTGCGTATATGTTTCTACCCATTATTATTTTGTTGTTTTAAATTCATATTGTATTTTCATGGCCTGGTTAGTTTTTACTGTGCTTTGAGCCTTATCTCTGAGATTCTCATGGAAATGTTCATGGTCAAGGCACTGGCAGGTTTGGTTGTCTGGTGAAGGCTGACCCCTCTGGAAGGCAGGAGTGCCGTGTTCTAACATGGCAGAAGGCGGACGGGCAAGAGAGCTGAACACTGCACGAAGCCTCTTTCCTAAGAGCCTAGATCTCATCAGTGAGGGAGCAGTCATGACTAATCAATCACCTAACGTGCCACCTCTCAGTACCATCACTCTGGCCACACTTGGGTTTTTGAGGGGGCACTGAAATCATAGCACATACAGGGGCTATGCAGACACAACAGCCTGGACAGGAAGGACACACCAACCTCCAGGTACCTCCCGGGGGAAGCAGGGATTGAGACAAGGGAAGGAAAGAAATGCTTCGCCTCTAGAGGATACGTTTCCTTTCTTACACAACAAAAGGAAAATACAAAGATCTAAAACAAATATGGCCTACGTTAACATTTATGTTAAGTTAAAACAAATTAATTAAATCAGGCTTGTAACAGTTCCTGGCACATAAAAGCATAAAGGAAAAAAAAAAAAGGAAGAGGGGATAGAGAGAGGGCGGGAAGGAAGGAATCCGTCTCAGTGGATGTCACGAGACGTCCTGAGCAGCTGCAGGCCTCGAGGGGTGGCAGTGACAATATTTCATATGGAGGATGTTTTTGCAAAATTGGTTCACATGTGAGTGGGGGATGTGTCCTGGCGTGCGTGGGAAGGAGGAGATGAACGAACTGTGGCCTTACTGGTGGGAGGCTCTTTGGGATGCAGGAGCATCACCCCTGTGGAAGGTTTTTGTCTGTCACCTGGAGGTCCCAGCCCACAGGAGACTCTGGGCTTGGACAGTGCACCAAGCCCCTCCCAAGGATCAGATCTCGGGCTGGCTTTCCCAGGCTGAGGACTAGGCTAGGATGAGAGGCACAGGCACGCTGGGGTCGAGTGAGCCCTGCCAGCTGGGCTCTGAACGATGCAGGCGCGCAGAAGGGAAGCAGGTCCGGTTGTCATCGGGTGTCCTGGGCGACAGGGCCAAGGACCACGCTGAAAGCACTGGTGGGGATTGACTCACATCTGGCAGATTCCTGGGGAATGACGCTCGTGTGACAGCCTGGAGCAGGCAAAGCAGAGCCAGAGGGCATCTGATCAGAGTTCCTGAAGTTGTGGTCAAATGCTTTCGCTCATGAAGCCCTAGAATCCAGAGTGTGAGTGCTTAAGAAAGGAGATTCTGAGGTAAGGGAAAAGAACTCCACTTACCTAAGCTCTTTCACGTTTCTGTCCTAAAGTATTGGTGGTGCCCACCGACAGACAAAAAAACCGTGGCCGGTGCCGGAGCTCAATAGGCTAATCCTCCGCCTAGCAGCGCCGGCACACCGGGTTCTGGTCCCGGTCGGGGCGCCGGATTCTGTCCCAGTTGCTCCTCTTCCAGTCCAGCTCTCTGCTGTGGCCAGGGAGTACAGTGGAGGATGGCCCAAGTGCTTGGGCCCTGCACCCCATGGGAGACCAGGAGAAGCACCTGGCTCCTGCCTTCGGATCAGCGCGGTGTGCCGGCTGCAGGGCACCAGCCGTGGTGGCCATTGGAGGGTGAACCAACGGCAAAGGAAGACCTTTCTCTCTGTCTCTCTCTCTCACTATCCACTCTGCCTGTCCAAAAAAAAATTTCTAAAAAAAAAAAAATTTGGTTTAAATGGGGAAAACCTCTGTATCCAGCCTCAGCCTCTGAGCTCGGTTGGATGAACTGTATCTTGATAAGCCCACACCTGACCAGGGGCCCCCCTGGCTTGGTCCTTCCTTTAGGCTAGAGGACCGCTCTGATTATCCCCTTGCTCTAGGGTAAGACACACAGCAGGCTCACATCGGGGGCACGGTCATCACCCGAGGTGGCCAGTTGTCTGAGGACACATAAAAGTTCCCAAATCTTGTGCTAAGGCAGATGCAGTCACACTCCCCAAACTCAGCTTCTGTGTAAATTAAGCGGTGTATCGCTAATTGGTGTCAAGATGACTAAAGAAGCCTTGTTTAAATATCTATTTTTAATTTCCTGTTTGTGTGGGAAATACCTTATCCTTCAGCTTATTAGAGAGCGCTCTGATTTACAAGGATATCATCGTAATTGAATAATGAGATGCTGCTTAGCTTGTTGTTCTTCAAAAATGTTTCCCTCCCTCCAGTTACATTTTTTTAAAGTAAATAAGTGCCATTATTTCCATTCTTAATGTAAACAGCATGGTCAATTTTCTCCTAAATCTGTCTCTCTTATAGTGTGTGAGTTTGTAATTTATGAGAGTTGGAAAGAAATTTTTGTACATGTTTTGGAGGGTCTACTGCAGCATTGTGATTTTGCTATGACACTGGTCAAAGTGGTTACATTAGGATAAATCTTTCTGTTGTCTAGGGGTGGACGATGTCCAGAATGAACTGATACTCAGAATAGTCTTGTGGAAGATCCTTCTGCAAGTTCTTGCTATGGGTTAGATGCAGCTTGCCCCGCAACAATTCAGCAGAGGCTTGGTGCCCAGTGTGGTGGTGCCGGGAGGTGGTGAGACTGCCCAGTGTGGTGGTGCCGGGAGGTGGTGGGACTGCCCAGTGTAGTGGTGCCGGGAGGTGGTGGGACTGCCCAGTGTGGTGGTGCTGGGGGGTGGTGAGACTGCCCAGTGTAGTGGTGCCGGGAGGTGGTGGGACTGCCCAGTGTAGTGGTGCCGGGAGGTGGTGGGACTGCCCAGTGTGGTGGTGCTGGGGGTGGTGAGACTGCTCAGTGTGGTGGTGCCAGGAGGTGGTGGGACTGCTAAGGGGTAATTAGGTCTTGGGGGCTCCTCTCTCATGCAATGATGATTAGAGCGCTCATGACAGTGAGAGCAAGCTGTTAGAAAGTCAGCGTGGCTCCCGCAGCTGTCTCTCTTGCTTCCTCTCTGCCACGTGATCTCTTTGCATGCACCTGCTTGCTCTTCTAGTTTCCTGCCATCCATGGAACAGCCTATGGCCTTCATCTTGAAAGGCACCAATATCTGGGGGGATTCCTTTAAAATATTCCTATTTTAGGAGCATGCAGTTGGTTTAGTGGTTAAGATGCTGGTTAGGTTGCCCAGGACCTGGATTGTATTCCTGGCTCTGGATCCTGAGTCCAGCTTCCTGCTAATGCAGACCCTGGGAGGCAGCAGAGGTAGTTCTAATAATTGGGTCCCTGTCATCCGTATGATGGACCTGGGTTCAGTTTCTGGCTCCCAGCTTCTACCTGGTCCAGTCCTACCCATTGTAGGCATTTGATGGGGAGAAAACTAGTGGATGGGAGTTCTGTCTTTTGTTCTACTGCTCAAATAAGTAAATAAGTAAAAATTTAAGAAAGGCTATACCCTTAGTCAAAATAAAATAAAATATCCCTATTTTAAAAACTAGTGATAATTATTAATTTAACATAATTTTTACTACTTTCTGTCAAACATATTACCCAAGTCAAGTCTCATGAAAGCATATTAATGTCCACAAAAGGTAAGGGTAAGAAATCTTTCTTCTACACAGAATCCTCTTAATATCCAGCAAATGTGTCAGACAAGTCAAGTAATATAGATGGAGGCGTCAAAGATTGAAATGGGGAATTAGTGGGAATGTAAAAGCAGGAATCAGGTGCTAATTGCATTCAGCAAGACTGTTCAGATCAAAATGTTCACCCTTACTAAGACATGGGTGAAATGGAGGCCAGGTAGAAGGGGTCATTTCGTATTAGTAAGAAATTAGTCGGGAAGTTATTTCCATGATCTCAACTCCTCATTTCGAATGCTGATTTTAAAGTTGTGTTCTTTTTCTTTTAAAGATTTATTTGTTTGTTTGAAAGGCAGAGTTACAGAGAGACAAGGGGAGAGACATAGAGAGAGAGGTCTTCCATCTGCTGGTTCACTCCCTAGATGGTCGCAATAACTGGGCCTGAGCCAGTCTGAAGCCAGTAGCTTCTTCTAGGTCTCCCATGTGGGTGTGGGGCCCCAAGCACTTGAGTTTTCTTCTGCAGTTTTTCCAGGCACATTAGCAAGGAGTTGGATCAGAAGTAGAGGAGCCAGGACTCAATCAGGCACCTATTTGGGACACTGCCAGTGTTACAGGCAGTGGCCTTACCTGCTATGCCACAATGCCAGCCCCTAAAGTTGTGTTCTAAGTTGGAACATGATAAATGCCATTACTACTTGCTGATCCCCCAAATAACTGTGTTTTAATAGAGATGTACTACTGATCTTGGAATAAAACTGTCTAGTTGTCCAGTTATGTGGAAAAATCAGTGATCTATCTGAATCTTTCAAATAGCACAAGAATGATCTATTTCACGGTTTGAACAGAACCCGCAAGTCAGGTAGATGTTTAAACCTCAAAGTCTTATGTTAATGGTCAATGGATTCATGGATGTATTTTGAAGATTGATGAATTAACCTTAGAGACTTGATCTAATGATGGCGTCTGGGAGGTGAGCCTAATGGGAGGCCTTTTAGGTCACTGGGAACATGCCCTCAGAAGGGCAGCGTCTCCCCCTGATGTGGGAGTGAAGACTTAGCTGTGTTTCCCTGGAACACACAAACCCAGCCTTTCCCCACGTGGCATATCCACCTGGGGGAGAATGTGTGGGCTGTGTAGACCGTGTGAATGGTATCTCTCTGTGTAGGTGACTGGGATTGCTGTTGACTTGCTTCAGTGCCTAGAGCTTGCCTCCTGGAATCCTGGCCCTCAGAGGTGGCCATGCAGGTCACACGCCTGCCATACCCAGCTGCCAAGTCGACAGCCACTTCTGCCAGCTTCCTTGGCAGGGTAGGCTGGTGGAGCAGGCTGCTCACATACTTTGGTCATCCTGAGTAGGACAGCGCCCTATCCAGCCAGAGCCTTGGAGAGCTTGCCTGTAGACTAAGGCTCTCAATAGAGCTTTCCCTGTGCTACGGGTTGAGCTGTGTTCCCAAAAAGATACTGAAGCCCTAACCCAGAGCAGCAGTGAGTGTGACCTTATTTGGAAACAGGGTCTTCGCAGAGATGGTTGCATTAAGTTGAAGTCATTAGGGTAGACTCTAGTGCGGTTTGGTGCCCTTATAAAATTTTTAGGAGAAATTTGTACACAAAAACACACATGGCAGAAGGTACTTCAGAAGTTCACGGATGGGCAAGCATTTGGTGCAGGGGTTGAGATACTGCTTGCAATGCTCGTATTCCACGTTGGAGTCCCTGGGTTTGAGACCAGCTTTGCTGCCTTGCCTCTGACTCCAGCTTCCTGCTAAGGCATTCTCTGGGGGGCAGACTCAAGCACCTGGGTCCCTGTCAACCACATGAGAGACCTAGATTGAGTTCTGGGCTCCTGGCTTGGGCCTGGCCGATCTCTGCTGCAGGCATTGGGGAGTGTGAACCAACAAATGAAAAATCTCCCTCCCGTCCCTTTCCCCATCACACTGCCTTTCAAATAAATAAAATAAACTTCAAAAATGAATTTTAAAGGCAAAGAGAGAGAGAGCACTTCCATCTGCAAGTTCATTCCTCGAATTCAGCAGGGAGCTGAATCAGAAGCAGAGTAGCGGGGGCTCAGACTGGTGTTCTGACATGGGATGCCAGCATTATAAGCAGTGGCTTAACCCACTGCACCACAATGTTGGGCCCAAATTAAATAGATTTAAAATTGTTCTTGAGTTCATGGAAAACAGAATTCAAAATGTTTATTTTGGTATAAAAAAATCTTGAAAACTATGCATAGGAGGAGTCTTCAAAAAGTCACAAAATGCACACTATGAAAAAACGTGGAATTTCAAAAAATTTTTGCACCAAAAAATTGTATTTTTTCATTCAGTTTTCCATAAACTTCTGAAGTGCCCTTGTGCAAAGGGAAGACAACATGGAGACATGGGAAAATCATCCACAAGCCAAGGAACACGGGAGGCTGTGAAACAACAGGAGAGAGGCATGGACTAGGGTCCCCCACACTCATGGAAGGAACTGATGCTGCCAACCTTGGTCTTGGGTGTGCTGGCCTCCAAACTGGGAGATAACACATTTCTGTTGTTTAAGGCCTGGTCTGGGGTGGAAATAAATGTAGTCGGCATCAGTTTTCACCAGGGAACTCTGAGTTAAAGTTGTTCTTTACAGTTGACTTGGCTCCTGCGGTGGCAACGTCCTAAGAGCATGACCCATTCTTAGGCACATTGGGTGCAGCCCTACATGACTTCCTGATCATGGACAGTTTCTACACACAAGAGCAGAACCTCTGCAAGCTGAATGGGTATCACCTACTGGTTGTTGTGGTTTTTTTTTTCTTTCCTAAAGCTCTTTTTCAAATAAAATAAGCATTTCAGGGTATGTATATAGATGGCATTATCACCAAAAGATAGTCCAAAGGACAAATCATAATTTAATCAAACAGTGTTTACTGTTCTGCCCCAAACATAAGTAAACTTAGTTTATTGCAATGATTTGCTTTGTGAATCCCTAAAAGTTTTTTACTTTAGAATTTTGAACCACAAACTAACTCTCCAGTAAGAAAATCCAGACATTTTTAATTTTTGTAAAAAAAAAAATATATGGTGTAGGATTTTCAGATGAAACTTGAGGGGCTGGCACAGCCTGTTAAGCTGCCACCTGCAGCGCCACCACCCCTATCAGAGCACCGGCTGGAGTCCTGAACGCTGTGTTTCGCGTTCAGCTCCCTGCAATGGAAGACGGCCATGAGCTTGGGTCCCTGCCACCCACGTGAGAGGCCCAGATGGAGCTCCAGGCTCCTGGCTTCAGCCTGGCCCAGCCCTGGCTGTTGTAGCCATTTTGGGGGTGAATAAGTGGGTGGAAGATCTCTCTTTCTGACTCTGTCACTCTTTCAAACAAATAAAATAAATCTTTACATCAAATGCATTTGAAATGTTCTACATTTAATGTAAAAAGAGTTGTAACAAATTACCTCAGAGGATTCATTCTCTCCCTGCACAGGTTAAATGTGGAAATGATGGGATCAAACAAAAAAGTAAGCGTTAAATGTTGACCAAAATTTAAAATATAGGGTTATGATAAGTGTAATTCAGGATTTTATCTATACTAGTCACTGTAGATGGAATTATTACATTTCCTAAAGAGTCCTTGTTTAATGCTTTGACATTTTTTTTTCTAGACTTAAGTGTTGTAAGTATTAATTCTGGAAGCAACTCCATCACGTTGGTGAATTTTCACTCATTTTGAAAATGCTGAGACCCTGGGAGGGCACCTGGCTTGTCCAAAACCATGGAGAATGAGAATTTCAAGAGAAAAGGTGAACTGCAGGCACCTTGTTCCTCCCTTCACAAGTACGCGTTTGTCGAGGGCAGCCCCCTTGTTCACGTTCTTTCCAGGTGCAGCACACGCAGGTGAAGGAGACAGACGCCCTTGCCCCTGACGAACAGCCTGGATGTCCCTGTGCCGGGTGCCCCAGCACCACCCGCTCCACCCAGCTGCTGTCTTAGTCCATTTCCTGTTGCTGTAACAAAATACCTGAGACTGAGGAGTTATAAAGAATGGAGATTTATTTGGCTCACAGTTCTGCAGGCTGGGAAATCCAGGAACATGGTGCTGGCATCTGCATGGCATCTGGTGGGGGAAGGCACCTGTGGTGAGACAGCAAATGCGCTGGTCTCGTCACACTTCTTCCTACAAAGCCACTAACACCACCACGGGCTCCTTCTCACGACCTCATCTAAACCTAGTCACCTCCAAACGGCCTTGGCGTAGGAACCTGGGGGTTCAATGTCAAACATATGAGCTCTGGGGGACACATTCAACCCCAGAGCAACCATAACTGTGGACCCGGTTTGGTGAGCTCTATGTTATGAGTGAGGAAACTGAGGCCCAAAGGGCTTCAAATTCCTGTACTGGTCACACATAGCGGACCTGGGGTAGGTACTAGACATAGCTGAGCTCAGCATACCATAAAATCTCCGAAGCCAAAGTCCTTTTCATGAAATCCGCCCTTAGGAACTGCACCGTAGCAGATAGCACATGAAACTGTTCCGGGCTAGGCTGGGCCTGTATTACTTCTCCAGACTCTTGCCTTTTACTCCATAAGAATTCTAAGCACAGACACAAACGCAGTGCGCGGAGCAATAAACTTTATTTACAAAGTAAGAGAAATACACAGGCCGGTTAGGGCTTTATTTCGGGAGAGTGGGCCAGGGAAGGGGAATCACCACACCCTGCTCCGCTCCTCCTGAGTCCACGAGGACGCCAGCGTGCTTCCCTTCTACCTGGCTCTTTTATGAGCTTAGAACAGAAGTGTTTAAGTGATACCACCCCCAGGCCCTAGTAAGAGGAAGCACTTCTAGGGGAGGGGTCCCCTGATTGACAGGTAGGTGAGCAACACAGACGGAAGGAGGTGCGGCTTCCAGCTCAAGAACTTAATACATTACCTATGTAAGCTTTCCCACAACAAAACCAGTGCCTAGCATTATCTCACTAATCCCCTTCCCCACTTCTCCAGGTGTATGGCACAGGGCGGTTGCTCTCCAGGTGTCTGTCCTGTCTGAGCCTGAGTCAGGATGCTCTGTGTTCCTGGGACTGACTTTAGATCCGCCTTACTAGTCCCTGCCCATGCCAGAGGGAAAATGCCACCTGAGCTCCCCTCCATGCACTACTGCCGTGGAAGGACGCAGAGGTCATTCTGCCAGGCTGCGGGGGAGGGGGGACAGCTGCAGCCACGGCCTCCGGCAGGAGGTGAACACATGTGGCGGCGTCCCCACCGACGTGGGCTCTGTGCACGTAGCTGTGCTGTGGTGACTCCCGCCTCCCCCCCCCCCCCCCCCCCCCCCCCGCCATGCAAGGCTGGCTGATGCAGAGAGAGATCGTGCTGGTCTCAAAGCTGCCCTCGGCGGTCTCTCCAGCTGCTGGGCACACACAGATGAGCAAAGACAGGTACAGTCAGGGCAGATGGCCGTGGGCCATGTCCCTGTCCAGGAGGAGCTCGCTGTGAGCCAGGCTGGTGACCTGGAGCCATGGGCACCACCCCCTCTTTGAAGAGTAAGAGGTTCCACCAACCCGCCAACTCCTGCCCTTTGGGGGCCCCTCTGTGTGTCCTTTGGGACAGAAAGGCACAGAGTAAGTCATCAAAGAAGCTTGCACATCAGACGTCTCTGGTTTTAGGAAGAAGGAGGAGTAAAGGGCAGGTACCCCTTATCGGGCTGAAATACACATACATTGATCATAAATCTCAAATTGAGATGCTGATTACTTCAAACCAATTGCCTGTGTGTGTGTGTGTGTGTGTGTGTGTTAAGACTTATTTTATTTATTTAAAAGGCAGAATGGCAGAGAGAGGGAGAGACAGAGATCTTCCATCAGCTGGTTCACTTCCCAATTAGGCGCGTTGGTTGAGGCAGGGCCAGGGCGAAGCCAGGAGCTCCATCCAGGTGTTCCACATGGGTGGCAGGACCCCAAGCACTTCCGCTGTCTTCCACTGCCTTCCCAGGCACCTTAGCGGGGAGCTGGATTGGAAGCAGGTGCTCCTATGGGATGCCAGCATAACCCATGTGCCACAATGGTGGCCCCTGAGTGCCTGTGTTTTAGGAAAGACAGATATTGCATGGTTCCACTTATATGAGGTACCTAAAATAGTCAAATTCAGAGAATCGAAGAGCTGAATGGTGGTTGTGAGGGTGTGGGGGAGGGGCGATGGGCAATGCCTAATCAGAGTTTCCGCTGAGCAGGAAGTCCTAGAGATGTGCTCCACAAGCTTGGACCTACCAGCACCAGACTGGCCATGCACTTAAAATTCTGTTATGAGGGTTGATCTCACATTATGTGTTCTGACCACAAAAGAATTTTTTTAATTTTTAAATGCCTGCAAAGATTGTTCAAAAAACCCAAGGCAAATGCTGTCTTACCCAGGAGTTAGTGATCATGGAGAATGAATGAAAAAAAATATACACAAAGCCTGGGAATTAAAATGAAGGATTTTCTTTTTCATTAGCCCTCATACATTTTAGAGTTATTTAGAAGAAATCTGCATTTTTAGCTTGGAGTGTGCTGAGCCTTTGTTGGCCAGCTCTGTGCACCGGTCTGCCCGGCTGCTTCCGCCGACTTGTCATGCTCACTAATTAGAGAGCTGCCGCCTGATTCACCTTGTTAATTAGAGGGACTTGCACACGGAGCCCTTCGGGCAGTGTGCGAGAGAGCCTCGCACCAGTGCCCCGAGAACGAGGCCGTCTGTGAAGTCATTCTTCTCATCTACCTTCTATTTTTCATTTGAAATGAATAAATCATTGAGATTTTCCTTGTGGAGTGAGAATGCAAGAATTCACATCTTTGTAAGATGTAAATTACATGTGATCAATAGGAAGGCATGACTCGCGTGTTGTACTTACACGATTTCCTAATTTACTTCTTGTCGGTGTATGCATGAGAAGTGGCCTGAAATGTTGGTCCCCTTTCCACGGATTCCTGGCCTTCATCTGGCTAAAGACGGAGTTGGGTGATAGACACAGCTCTTCCTGTTTAGCTGTGGGGGGCTGGCCCAGTGGTTTGCTGTGCAGGTGCACGGAGGGAGGGGGACACCGCGTGGGCTGCATCAGCCCCTTCTCCCCGGTACCCCCTGGGGCCCATCTGTCCAGGTAGAGACAGGGCAGCAGGCCACTTTGATGGGGATATTCTCTTTGTGATAGTGACCTCCACTTGCTGCAATTGAGGTTTTAGATGGATCACGTGTCTTTTTTAAGAAATAATCTGATTTATAGAATTCATATTTTGGGGTCGGCGCTGTGGTGTAGCAAGTAAAGCCACCGCCTGCAATATCGGCATCCCGTATGACCACCAGTTCGAGTCCTGACTGCTCCACTTCCTCTCCAGCTCCCTGCTAATTTGCCTGGGAGAGCAGTGGAAGATGGTGCAAGTGCTCGGGTCCCTACAGCCATGTGGGAGACCCTGAAGAAGCCCCTGGCTCCTGGCTTCGGATCAGCCCAGTTCTAGCCGTTGTAGCCATTTGGAAACTGAACCAGTGAATGGAAAATCTCTCTCTGTCTCTGTAACTCTACCTTTCAAATAAATAAATAAATCTAAAAAAAAAAAAAAAAAAGCTATTTGGCCCGTTCAGACTGTGACTCCCACCCTGGAAGCAGCAGTGCCGTCTGACAGTGGTGCCTCTTCTTCCCACGTGTTTAGGCTGCCTTGGATGTCAGGTTCAGTGGCTTGATTAATATTAAGTAATGTGCTTGATTAATATTTAGTGTGGTTCAGTGCAAATAGGAGAAGGCAGTAATTTTTTGTTAGTGGTGGGAAGGATGGTAGTTAAAGATGTGGCTTTCCTAAAACAGGCCTGTGGGGGTCGTCTCCACAAAGTCTGGGGGGTCTCTGCTAAGAAGTCTGATTAAGACCCCGTTATTGTGGTGGGTTAACATCTTCAATGCGGTTGACCTTTTTGAACTAATCGTACATGCTCACCTGCAGAGAATCCGGTGAAAGATTTGCAAATAGGTCTCTAGAGAAAGGGAAAGATTTTTCCCTGCTCTCCCTAAGAAAGGGTAGCTGTTTTCTAGAATTTTCTTTCTACCCTTCAGACTGAATTTGTGCCCACAAGCACCAATCATTGAGCATTTGCTGGGGGCAAAACCTTGTCCCAACCCTGCGGGAGCCCCAGCACACAGAGACCGTGCTGTCCTCAGGCCCTCCCTTGCCCACAGAGGAAAAAGCCAGAGAAGCAGTAGATGATTGTCAAAGTGAGAAAGAGCTCCATAGCCCCGAACCTGCTGGAGGGAGGGGAGTTGGGACTGAGGATCCAGGGGGAGGGACTTGGCAAGGCCTCCAGGGGCACGAACAGAGCCGTCCAGGTAGAGAAGCCTTCCAGACAGAGGGCACGGCGTGGACAAAGGTGGGGAAATATGTGGCTCACTGCAGAGTGTGAGGAGCCTGGAGAGACTGGAGAGAGGGTAGATGAGAGGAGAGATGGCTGCAAAGGCAGGGAGGCCCCAAGAGGTCGGCGCTGCAGCCTCCATCGGAGACCTGGGCGTGGTTCTCAGAGCAGTGTCACTCAGTGCGCGCAGCCCCACAGGAAGGCTGAGCACTGGCATGTAGATATCCAGGACCAGTGCTCTATTTTTTTTTATTTGACAGGTAGAGTTATAGACAGTGAGAGAGAAAGGTCTTCCTTCCATTGGTTCACTCCCCTAATGGCCGCTATGGCCGGCGCTGTGCCCATCTGAAGCCAGAAGCCAGGTGCTTCTCCTGGTCTCCCATGGGGTGCAGGGCCCAAGCACTTGGGCCATCCTCCACTGCACTCCCTGGCCACAGCAGAGAGCTGGACTGGAAGAGGAGCAACTGGGACAGAATCCGGTGCCCCAACCGGGACTAGAACCCAGTGTGCTGGCACCGCAGGCGGAGGATTAGCCAAATGAGCCACGGCGCCAGCCATGGGCCAGTGCTCTAGTTGGGCAGGAGCCCAGGCCCGTCAGAGGTGTGCTCGGCTTCTTTGGCATGGTTCCTCTCCGCACACCTCCAGCTCGGGATGGAGGAACCTCAGGATGTCGGGTGAATGCTGACCTTGGAGTCTCACAGGCATAAGAAGCCAGCTCTGTGAGAGCAGCAACCGTCTGACCTTGCGCACGTTTTCAGTTTTTCTTTCTTTCCAGTTGGCCCAGGTGTGTCAGTCAGCTCCTCCTTACTTTCACGGAAACAACTGAGAGGAGCTTCGCGGGAAAGGAAAGATCCATTTGGGTTTGTAGTTCGGAGGCTGCAGTTCAGTCACCTGGTGTTGATGGAGGCTGGCCATGGCGCAGCAGGTGCACAGGAGCGATCACATGGTGAGCCAGGAAGCAGAGAGAGGAGCCGGGCTCAGCTCGGCTTTCATAACCAACCCTCTCTGTGGACAGCGCCAGAGCCGCCTCTCAGGTGCCGTAATTAGATCATGTCTCTGGCCTTAACCTACAGAACTCTTTAATGTAAGACTTCAGAGTTTAAACACCTGTGTAAGTTTGGGGGGCCAAGTCCTGCTCATTCCATGAAAACCGTAATAACTGTACATATTTACGGTACATAATGTGCTATGTGCATACATGTTGTGTAAGATCAAACCGGTAGTTAGCTCATCTATCACTTTATTATTTTAAAAGATTTATTTATTTATTTGATAGGCAGAGTTACACAGAGAGAGGAGAGGCAGAGAGAGAGAGAGGTCTTCCATTCGCTGGTTCATTCCCCAGTTGGCCGTAATGGCTGGAGCTGCACCAATCGGAAGCCAGGAGCCAGGAGGTTCCTTCATGTCTCCCACATGGGTGCAGGGGCCCAAGGACTTGGGCCATGTTCCTCTCTTTCCCAGGCTATAGCAGAGGGCTGGATCAGAAGTGGAGCAGCTGGGACTCAAACCAGTGCCCATATGGGATGCCAGCACTGCAGGCGGAGGCTCTACCTGCTATGCCACAGCGCTGGCCCCTATCACTTTAAACATTTATCATTTCTTTGTTACAAGAACATGCAAAATCCTGTCTTCCAGCTGTTTGGAAGTACACAATATACTATCTACTGTAGTCACCCTACTAGGCAATAAAAACCAGACCTTGAGAATTAAAAAATATATTTTATTTTTTATACAGAGAGAGTGCTCACATTTGCTGGTTCATTCTTCAAATACCCACAACAGCCAGGGCTGGGCCACGGTGAAGCAGGGAGCTAGAAACTCTATGCAGGTTCCCCTGGTGAGTGGCCAGGTCTCAATTATATGAACCGTTACATCTGCCCCCCAACTCCCAGGATGTGGATTAGCAGAAAGTTGGAACTGGGAGCAGAGCCAGGACTGGAACCAAGGCACTTCCA